GAGGAAAAAAACAAAAAAAAAACTAAAAAGCACTCAAACAAGACCGCCAGATGACGGGTGCTGAAGTGGGAGGGCCCTTGCGCGCGCGCGGGCCGATGCGCAGCATCATGCGCTCGACACCGGACTCAAGTTGAGTCCAAGGGCAAAAGTGCAATTTGCCTCGGGGCTGAACTGGAAATCGAAGGTTTGAAGTTGGGCGCCAGAATGCCGGATGACACCAAGTATCGAAGTCCGACAGTACCAGAGAAGGGATTTGAGAACGGGCGCCAACTGCAGAGGGCGCCAACAGTCAGGAACAGGAGATCAGGGACTCTGAAAAAATAAAATTGCAGCGTGGCAGGTGGTAACCCGCGGGCCAGGGATCGAGCCCTGGCTGATTCCGTAACACTATCCCCTTCCTCTGGAAGGCAACTCCCGATTGCCAAAGACCCAATGAACAACTGTGAAGGACGGAATGGGGCCAATCACTGGTCAGAAAAGGAAAAGGGGAGTATTGCAAGTAGGAAGGTAGTCCTATGGGGGTTCTACAGGGATGAGGGAATCAATGTTCAAGTAACAGGGTACTCCTCTTGAGGTTCTACAGGGATGAGGGAATCAATGCTCAAGTAACAAGGTAATCTTACTAAGGTTCTACAGGTAACAGGGAGGTCCTATTGGTGTTCTACAAGGTTGTAGGTTGTCAGGTTTGAGAAAAAAAAAATAAAAAAAATTGTTTGTTCAATGCTCAAGTGCTGAGGTGTCTGAGGGGTCTGGGAAAACAACGTCTCAGGTTTGTAACAAAGTGTGAAAAGCGAAGAAATGTCTTGGGGAAGGTCTTGGAGGGCGTCGCAGAAGTGGCGGTGAGGAAACAGTCTTCAGCATTTCCGTGATGTAGACGGTGAGGACTTCAGCTTGATTGTCGCAGTAGCAGGTTGTGTCCGGTACATGATCTGATGATGAGGTCTGATCCGGATAGCAGGTCGCAGACTGATCTTGATGTCCATGTCAGAGGTGCTGCTCCAGAAGTTTGCGAGTCCAAGGTGTCAGTCAGTCCAAGGTATCGACCAAAGGGAACAACATGGTGGCCAACCAGTTGTCTTATCTCCTCGTACTGAGCTGCAACATGTCGTCGTCCCCTTGCGCTTGCCATTATTTACATTATCGCCGGCGACGCACAGGGGCCACATAAAGAACTTGGACAAGAGAGACAAGGATGTGGCGGAGGACAGATGGGAGAACGGGGCAAGGCGGAGGGCCGGAGGCAAGAGCGGATCAGACAGGGGGGGGATTCAAGAGGCAAAGGCTTTGCTGGGTACACGGGTGTGTGTAGAGCAGGAATGCGGGGTTTTGGCGGGGTCAAGGCGGGGTTTATGCAAGGGTTTAGGATTTGAGTTATATTATGTATCTAGGATATAGGGTGAGAACGATCATAGGCGCAAACAAGTTTCGAGCCCCAGCCCCGGGGCCCCGGCGGGGGTTCGGGGGTGGGCACCCCCAACCCGGCTCTGGAACCCCGCCCCAAAAAAAATAAAAAAATAATAATAAAAAAAAAAATAGTGGGGGGTGCGCAGCGAGAGCGCGCACCACATGGGCTAAGCCCCAAAAATGGGGTTTTATGCCCCACTCTGGACCCCCCCCGGGGCCACACCCACCACTCGTGGGACCGGGGTAGCTGCTGGTGCGGGGCCAGGGGCGGGACTAACAGCCAGCAGGGGTGGGGTTGAGTGTTGGCGGGGGCGGGGTTGCAGGGTGCGGGGCGC